CCAGAAATGCCGGAAGGCATGATTGATTGAGCTTGAATCCCTCACTGTCACTATCCAGCGTAATGTGGCGTTGTCAACCGGTATCGGAAACCTAACTCTGGGCTGAGCAAATGCAATATTACAATGTACAGATTGCTCTCAGTGAATTGTTCCGCTAAAGATTCAATGGTATAACCTCTGGCACTATTGGCGTTTTACAGTATGACTTAAAAAGTAGTCTCGGGATCTACAGTCTTCGTTTGAGGATTCCCTCAGTTAGCCCGTTTCGTGAAATACAGCGCTGAAATTGACATCCATCGATAGCGTGCCACATTTATTCCAAGTAACAGTTCGGCAGCAGAGTTAGCCAGTATATCTATATACCTAATTTCAGTTCGTCCCGGTACTCTAAGAACCGAAGATTGCGGCTTTCAAACCCAATTTCCAACGCTTTGCTCTGCGCCATGAAGTGGTACGCCGCAGCTGAATGACAAAATGCGGAAGCGCAGAGTAACCTATGACGAGCGGAAGGGTTGAAGCAGGAACCGAATTCAGTGTGGTGCAGTTCAACTACGGAGATGAAACTTATTTATATTTATTCTGTAAAATAAGGGATACATCCAATTAAGTACCATTCTGACTGAATCTGAATAAGGCCGTGGGGTAGCTGCACTAATTCACAGCATGCAACAACAAGGTTGCCAAAAGGCATAATCTCCATTGAGATCAGCCCAAGAGTCTGATAGTTGATGAAGAATTCAGATAAGTAAGGGTATATTCACTGAAGTGTAATGCCATTTAGAAGGTCTTGATCTGCCTAGTTCCAAAGCAAAAAAAATATCTACTCGGTTGTACAATCGGCTGGTTCCACGACAAACTCCATAGAATTCCTGGGCTCAACTAACCACAACTTCGTTTTTTTTTAAAAAAAAGAAGTCCTCTAATTTCTGCGAGCTGACTCACTGGTTCTTCATTTCATGGTAAATTTCCGTCCCAATTTTACAAACGTTGGTGGGAAATTTACACGCTCCAGACACGCACAAATCAGGACCGCCATTGTCACACAAAGGACCTAGATAAGAACTGTTCTTACTCGAAGAACAAGTCTCACTTATTTTCCCTCATCGAATAGAGTGAATCTTGGGCAGAGAAGTGGGAATCCGTGTGCTGAGGTACATGATGGACCAGCTTTGCTATGTCATGAGGATAGTAATTTGAGGGTAAACATTGTCTGAAATGACGAATTTAGTTCAGGTCAGATGGAAAACGCTCAGCCAGATACCAGTTCGACTCCCTATTCCTGGATTCATTTGCAGTGCCTGCACACTCCTTGATGAAGTCATGGCTGTACGGCAGTGAAGCATTGGTGTTGAGCACTGATGTCATGCTGTCGTTGATGATGATGATGACTCCTTGATGAATAGTGCGCATCAATCAGTACCGAACAAACGTTACGTCTGCACGTTTTGCTCGATAGCTGCAACGGCGAATTCCGTTAAAAAATAGACCCTCATTCTCAAAGAGAATATCAGTAGTTTGCGGACGGTTGGTAGTTTGCTCATTTGGCTGGGTTGTAAATACTCCAAGACTACATTACACTTCGTAGTAAGTTGCCCGTTTGTCAGCTGCTGGCGGCTATTCTGTTTTCATCGAACTTGCAAATGTTCTTGAGGCCCTGAGGTAGGTGATTAGATCTGAGGCCTCGAGGGTAAACAGTGTGAACTAGATGAAAACCCGTTGGAGCCACCACAGAGTGTTTGCCAGACGTATTCATTTACTGTAATGGTAACATGCCGTAGGCCAATTGTGGTCCACTTGCTTTTTTTCTTTCAGCATTTCCGACAAAATGATGCAGCAACAGGATCTGTTTAACATGTACAATTCCTCCATCAACGCGTCGCACTGTTTGATTGTTAATTTGTCTAATAAAGTGTTTAGAACAAAAGCACTTCTTAGTCATGGGGGGTTTACTCAACACAGTTCGCAAAAGTGAGCAGCAGAACGAACTGTACTGTTCAGCGCCAAAAGAGAGTGAGAAGGTAGGATTCAGAGCGGTGAAATTGGTCACCATCATACAAACTTCATCAGATTTTGTATCGTCTTTACGGATACCAGTGCTCAAGTTACTTGCCTTTGATATAATTGGTTCGCCGCGTCAATATTTATCATTCTTAAATTCTTGATAGTATGAGCGGATATTCTATAGCACAATACTCCAGTCACAGCTCGAACTTTATCTCAAAACGGTCCGTTTGGTTTAACAAGCTGCAAGTCAGCATTCTTCATTGGAACATCAAAACTGGCCACTGGTTATGCTGCATTCAGTGACGCTTCGGTGTTCGATAGATTTCAGGGGCGTTCGTGATGCAGTCAACACACTCAGGGAACGAGATAACCGCTGAACTCTTCCTCTGATTTATTGAATTGAACTATGGCGGTCTCCGAAGATCGGTGTTATCTTCATATTGGTTAAAACTGGACCTGCCCTTCGTTAGGGTTACAGTCACTAACGAGTGCTCCAGCGAAGTCTATATTTGACCAAACCGTTCACGGGCATCACCCAGGAGGGGACGCGAAAATACACGGTGCAGAATTTTCGGTGTTGCAGAACAGCCCCATACAGCACGTTCGACCTCCGGAATCTGCCGTCTGGTGTCCCTGTAACGATGGGCTCAACTTAATCCCTCGTTCGCGACATTCTTCAGATGAATTCGTCACACAAAGGCCGCATCACGTTCCAGTTGCGGTGTTCAGGATATCGCCCAACACACTACTCATAAGGTTGCTGAAAACAGTCCACTACCGATTTCAACCTACTTAGGGCTCATCAACTAGCCTTAATCCCCGAGTTCCCATCGGTTTATGTTCTACTTGAACACAGAATTACACGTATTTGACGAACTGCACTCAGTTACAAATTACTTTGGTGGAAGAAGCGATTCCAGCAATTCTCCGAGACTTCGGTGGCCAGAAACAGGAAGAAGCCTCACATCATTTGTCCGCAGAGGTCGTCTCGTAACCGTATAACAAACCAGTCATCACTGTACTGACTTCAACAGACAACCGTCATACCTAATACGAATACCGAGGTATGTCTCTTCTTGAATTGAAAAAGGAATTTTCCGAGGGTGCAGTTCTGAAACATGACTTTGCACCTTGTGGTTGCAAGCCACATCCAGGAGGTAGTATGATGGAGGTCAGTTTATCAATAGAGCTTGTGCTTGGCCTTCGTCTTCAAAGGTGAGGACGATGTCGTCTGGGTACTCCAGATCGTTAGGGTTTTCACCAATAAAGATTTATGAAGCGCTTCTTGCGTTCACACTCAGGCTTCAGAGCAACGCCAAATGTATGGAAGACCCAAAACCTTGGTGTTCCTCGAATTCAAGGGTGCGTTCGATTGTGTGGACCAGTCAGTACTTCTGATTACACACACTTGATAGAGGATTCCACGGAAGTCCGTGAACATAATCAGTTCCTTTTATTCAAATACTTCTGTGTGAGAGTCTACCGTGAACTATCTACAGGCAGAAGCATGATAGGTTGGGAAGGGCTCGGATGTTGTTAACCGGTCCGTCTTCGAGGATACGGTCCCTGTGACCACACACCGTGTGCTTCGTTAGGGTCGTGCAAAAAATAACGGCTAGTCGATGTCAGTGACCTTCGTTCTGTCAGTTTCTTCTTCAGAATGCATGCGGTGAGCTACCACAAGGTCCCTCATTCTCTTCTCTTCACCTTGAAAAATTAGATGCAGCAGTGAAGCATGGGTGTCAACACCATGGTTGCTGCCTCTGATGATAATGTCTTCCTAAAACAACGGATCTGCTATAATACGCCTCGTATTCGATGATGATTCAGTTCACACCAGCATCCAGAATCAGAAACTCCGGTGGCTTGGTCACGTGGGCTTCGATCTGTCCACCGAGCTTGTGAACGCTAAGTCAGCAATTCAGGTGACATTACCCACCCAATGCGCCTTGATAATGCTCCCTTCATTGGCGAAGAAATCTTTGTTTGCAAACTAATTGCCAAGCTCGACAAACGGCCACCTGATCAACTACAAATGAACGGACCCAAGTTACTAATATTCCCGTAAATTCCCTGCTCGGTCATTCGCTAAACGTCTCGAGTTATCGGTTAACAGAACAACTACCAACGCTGAGTTCGAAGTAGCGTAAACCAAGAGGCGGTCAATGTACGTCTTTGCAGACGGGAATGAAGGAGTGCGCTGTGTTTCACTTGTCCACAAAAAGGGTCCGGGTGGGTCTCACTATGCTCGGCTAGAAATGTGGCAAGCCATGGTGAGAACTTGAAGTCACATGTGTTGCCAGTTTTTATTCAGGCCTTGTGACCTGGCGCAATAGGTATCCTATGCACTTGCGTTAGACTTGTACAAGACCCCCTCCCTCCTCCATTTTCGCGCCCTCTACATTTGACTTTTCTTCGAATAGACTTGCGTGATTGTATAGCATTAGAGCAGTGGCGCTGACAAAAAGAATGATAATGATCAACAAGACCATTGTCCCCTATCTTCAAGATGACTGCACATTGAGAGGCTTTATTACATCGATGCGCTAATCAAGAAACCTTCAAGACACATATCACATTGTGGTTAAGCCGAGGATAGGTCACAGAAACCAAGCCTAATGTAACTATTCAACAACACTGGTGTGAGAATTCATAATCTGTTGTCAAAGTAGATTTCCCTGAGTTCATTCTGCTACTGCTTCGCCAATTGCAATGAATAACCGGGGATGTGGATGACAGAACTTCTAAGGACAGGCTCACAGAGAAATCAAATGTGATTCTCAGTTAGCTTATTCAGAAAATCAATTAGCTACTGGTCAGGGTGTTGCATCTGCTGACCCACTGGTATCAGCTTGAGACTGTTAGCTGAAAGGTCACACCTAATCCCTCCTTACCCCCACCAGATAGGTCACAATAAGGTCAAAATGGCTCACCTGGACGGGCCTTTCGAAACTCAAGTAAATCTCTATTGCGAAAAATAGGGAATATTCCTAAATGTCTCATATTCGGAGGGCCCACGGAGGTTGTTAAAAGATTTGTGAAAATCATAGAAAATAAACAGAAATAAATGATTGGATGATCAAAACGACGAGATAGGAAGTTGATTTGGTCATAAAATGGTAAATTGCACTAGTGAGTCAGACGAGATCATCGCTCTCTAAGTATACAGTCGGTAACTAGTTCAACGAGGGATACAGCCAATTCTTTGATCCCCGAGGCATCTTCTAAGTTGGTCAGAACTGCAACACAGATCGGAGCGAGTTTGGCGGACCGGGCAGTAAAGTCGGACGGATTGGATAGAGCATCTTCGCGGACATACTCATGACCACTCAACAACTTGCAACAGGGAAGGCTAAGGAGAAGTATTGTAGTTCCACCAACAGCACCCCCAGTATGACAGACGTAGAGGCGATCCGGACATGTCATCTCCTGAGATAGTGATCCCCCAGAGCGTCTGGAATACAAAAAGACATCAAGACATAAGTAATGTACTGACCATTTTCCAGCCCAACTCACACTAGCATATTTCTAAGGGCGCATTCGGACGACTCATCTATTATCAGGCTCCTCTGTTCTGTTGGCATGAGGTCAACAGTGGTTTACACAGCATTCCTGATAAATACCCCATCATCATATATCTATCACGCATGTGTGGCGTTCTTCTGAACCTGGGAGCATGACTGGAAAATTCCTTTTTAACAAGAATTAACTGGATTAAATCGTTCACAGCGTGGACGGCTGGGGAGTGATGTACTGACGAACTGGAACGGATAACTTTCCGCGTAGAAGGGCATCTGATTGGGCAATCGAAATGCCCATTTCAATAGTACCGGAAGGCGATTGCTCAGCGGGAACGTACACAAAGCATAGGATGCCCAAAAAACGGGATGACAGAAGGAGAAGTGACGTGTCTATCTACCAAGAGCGAAGGCACAGTCAGACGAATATGAAAAGCCGGCGTAGATTCGCAGACCTTCCACATAGCCTGCACTAATTTTGCTGACCTACAAGTCATTTGCACCATGGAAGCGTAGTTAGGACGCAATCATAATCATCATTGCCCCCAATACTCCTATCGGCAAATGAATGTCGCACAAACATATCAAATTATTAATGCCAAAGAGTGGCCAACGCACGAAAACAGTGCTAGCGTTACGAAACCCAAAGACTGCTTAACCTTATGAGCAACCTGGAAAGAATAATGGACACCGAACGACCTCGTTCCCACGGGGTTTCGCCAAGTATGATCCTGTCTATCACATACAGCACCCTGTGGGCACTGAATGTGCACATTCAGTTGCCTGAGAACATCACAAACGAGAGATTCAGCTGGGCTCCAGGTGAGTCTCTCGGAAAACCAAACTTGTTTGCAAATGAGTATATTTCGCTAATTTCGTCCAATTTGGTTTCAAGTAGAACATGAGGTTGGCGGAAACCCGGGGACTGCGCCTATCTGGTGAGCCCCAAAAAGGGCGAAACCGGTCGTGGGCTGTCGACGGCTTTTCAGCAACCTTATGAGTAGTACATTACAAAGAACTATTCACTTGATTGTTTATGATTTTTTGGCAAATAGATAATTGTACACAATGAATATTGTATTACATGCTCACAACAAACAGCTAAGCTGTTTGTCACGAGGGTACGGGAACCATAAGTGTTCGTTGATGCCGTTTCTGCATTATCGTGAGCCTCACGACTGGACTCACACTAGTGATGATGGAACTGCAAACCAAATGAACTGTACAGAATTGTTGTAGATGACGGTCATCGGAGAAATATGACATGGATCCGATTTAGATACTTGGGGACGATCGGCCTTATTCCACCGATGCGTTTTTCGATATTATGAAACAACACTCAAGTCCGGTACAGTACAGTAGCGCGCATCTAAGCGATCCCTAGGAGACCTATCCACCTCCGTAGGCTTCTAAGCGAAATGTGGTGACATTAGATTGACCAGTGTCAGCTGTTAATGTATGCTTCTCGTGTCAGTTTTGTCGTAACTACTTGTTCCTCAGCATCTGGAGTGTCAATCACATTCGTAAGATTTGCTGTTTCTGTTTAGCTGATGTTTCATTTCAATGCGACAGTGCGCGAACACCTTAACTGTTCGGCAGGATGGCCGGTTGGAGAATTTCTGTATCGATCACCGCTACGTCAGAAACCATAAGTCGTTAACAGTACTCAGAAGTTCCGTGCGCTGTTGGTTGGTGCGCACTGAAGATGTCTCTTTGAATGGTGACAAAACGTTTGCAAAGCTCATCGAACAGATCAACAGCCACCTGATCAATTACCAGCTAATGCACCCGAGCTACCAATATTCCAACAAATTACCGATAGATATGTATGCCATTCTGCAAGAATTAAACCACCGGACACCCTTTTTAAAGTCTATTTGTAAACAAGTTAGCTAAAGTAATCGACCCAGTGATTGATCCTTTGTCCGAACATTCTAAATGTCCCAAAAATTAGTTTTAGGAAAGCACGAGCAACGGAAGGAGGCGAGTGAAAATTGTGCCTCCAGACTAGTGATTTCAACTCAGAGGCTATATAGCTAATTAGTTGGTAAAGAACACTAGCACTGTACTGCGATGCAAAGCACTAGTAAGTTTGTATCAGTGAGCTGTACCTGGAACACCAGAGAAGTGCAATTCCGAGCAGGGCAGATAATACCGCGTGCGCAAAGTAGTGTGCGTAACAACATCAGAGAACTTTGGTCAATTCAAACCAGATGGAACATAACCAGAGACAAAAAGAATGAGGAAGCTCGAGATAGCTCAGTGGTTAAAGTAAAAAAAGGTGCCAGCTTACGGACCGGAAGGTCCGTGATTTGAAGCCGATCTCAACACCTCGACTGCTTCCGTCTAGGCTCTGGAAACCGGGCAGTATGCCAGTTCTCGTGTCTCCCTCCGTTGGCATGGCAGCTAGGCACCGAAAGGGTACTGTAGCTGAACGAAAAATATAAGTGATTAACTGTGATTGGACTAAAGGCTTGAGGCATACGGATAAGCTAGTGACCCACACCTCTCGTAAGCGACAAGAAGGTTGGAATATAACGCAGCGCGGCATTCGCAGAATAGGAATTCCAGCATTATGACAGATGTAGCATTCTGAAAACTTCGATGTTGAGCGCTCCATACGCAGCACACCGATTTCAACGACCTTCTGCGTACAGCTTTTTGCTACAAAGTCTTGTGGTCCTAGAAACGTGGCCTTGCTTTTCCTAAGGGTCAAAAGGCCCCAATTCGGCGTTAAACCACCCAACGTTTATGAGTACGACATATGGAAAACTAGCCAGTGGATTTGATGCTGCGTCGAATTGCGGCACATGGGGAACTGCGAAATATCCAGTGTAATAATTCAAGGTAAAATTTACATAGGGAAATACATACCCGGGGCGAGATGTCCCATGTGGTTAGAGCGCGAATTTACTGACCCGAAGGTCCGTGGTTCGAACCCGACCTCTGCCTCTCGACTACCCCTGTCAAGGCTTTGGCAACCTGGCAGTATCCCAGCCCTCGTGCAACCTTCGGGTGGCATGACAGTTAGGCACCGGAAGGGTGCTACAGCTGAACCTACATACCCGGGTCAGGACACGCAGTTTTGACTACATATGAAGACCTATGACCATGTAAAGTGCAACATATGACGGACTACAGTGTGTGGCTCGATGAAGATGATGATGGCTGCGTGTCACTAAGACTAGAATCATTCAAATAAGTAACAAAACATGAACGCAAGACTCACCGGCGCAGAAACCAACCCAAGCCCGGTTGCCAATCTTCATCTGGGTTGGAGGCTGATACTGTCCATAGCAGACGCAAAGTTTCGGGCTTAATCACACCCGTCATAGGCATACTATCCAAGTAGACATAGGCGAGGTGATTTGCAAACAAAGTGAGGTCATATGCTGTGGAGAGAATTCCTCCGCCAGCCCATTTATACGAATTGTCAACCATGGGGGTGTTTTCCAGCACGCCTTTGGAATTCCGTTTATACTGGCTGCGTGAAAGCATAAAAAAGGTGCTAAGCAAAAGTTGTTCAAAAATATGTAAACAACAATTCGGGTAAGAAGTAATAGTTGTGTGAATTGTGCCGAACTGAGATGCGAGCGTGTCAAATTCGGGCCGGCCAGTCTGTATTCGAGGACTAAGGTTACGCCCTGCAATACACAAAAAACAGATGTTGAGAAGTGCTCTGAACATGCTGGCGTCCACATGACCGAAACTAACAAGTTCGCGCGCCATAGGTTGTTGTATGGTAGCTGCTTAACGCACGAACCCCAAATCCCTTCTAGTGAAATGACAAACGCTACCAAAGACATGACTTTTGAACATATCTGTCACTAAATCTTAGTTCACCAGTATGCTACAACCACGGGTCGGATCGTTACCTATAGATCTACGGACCCCACAGTGGTAATGGCGGAGAATGGGTCAAGACGTATAAATGCAAAGATTGAATCATAGGGTGGAGCACAAAATCCCCCAGCCTCAATTCATCTGTCTCGTGCACTTGCCCAGAGGTAGTAGGGTTTTATAGGGCACTGTGTTCTGATATGTAAGAAGTAGAGGCTATGTGCAAAAAATAGCATATCACCTCAACTTTTATTAGCCTACCTGGCTCGCACTGGCATGATTTTCTCGTGATATTCCAGAAAAGTGTTCTTGAGTCCCAAAAAAGTGAACAACTTTGAAAATTGGTGATCCATCTTAGCGAAGCAAGGTATTTTCGAAGTGTCCGAATTCGTTTTAACGCAGTATGGTTGTGTTCCCAAAGAACATGCGAAGGAGGGACCTGAACGAGTACATATGTTCTCAATCGCTGCCGACAAGAGGGTGAAACCGAAAGTGCTGTAGGTGTACTGTTTCCCAGGTGCGTGCACAAGCGGGTCATCTTTGAAAAGGCTGCAAGCATCGAGCGCATTGTCATAACGCGTTTGAAGTAACATTTCTGGGTAGGACTAGATCAGAGGACAGAGGGGATTCTCATAAGTGCTGAAGAAGAGTGAAATTTATGGAGCATAAGTTCCAATATACGAGGATCTGCTCATAATACGAGAACACGGTTATCCGATCATTGATGAGGTAATTATCAGTCACTATCCAATGCTGCACAAACTCGTACATCCGATTTATGCTATCAGACAGAGTCGAATAGACACGAGACAACGAGAAAACTGAAGGAAGACCGTATGACAAAAAATATCGTTCAGCTGTAGCACCCTTTCGGTACCTAACTGCAATGCCACCAGAAGGAAGCACCAGGGCTGGGATACTGCCAGATAACCCAAACCTAGGCAGGGGAAGTTAAGATGCAGAGATCAGGCTCCAACCACGGACACTCCGGTCAGTAAATTGGCGCTCTAACCACTGAGCCATCTGGACCCTATGACAGCGATTTACCGATTGTAGGGAGGAAAGAAGCAGTTACGATGCCGAAAGCCTATGTGGGAGGTGTCCTATATTGTCAGCTAGTCCCTCAGTTTCAACATCGTTCTCATTCGTCGTCTGGATACTCCAGTCGACAAGGTTCTCATTGGCAACGATTTGAACACCGGAGTTTCGAAGACCCTTTGGTGGCATCCTTCTCATAACTTCAACGGTAACGAAGTTGGACAGAAATGGAGAGAGTGGACGCTCTTGCTGGACATAACGTTTTGTACGGAAGTGTCTGGAGAGCCCCCTATATACTCGCCCTCCCAAATGGGCCGCATCTGTAGCATCCTGACGGTTAGAAGAGCTAATCGGTTCACAGTATCCGAAGTCTAGGAACAGGAAGATTTTAGGATTCTTCTATTAGCACCTGAAGGAATGTGAAGATATGACAGGAGCAGTTCCTATCTGGTAGAGATCTCGCTTTATGTTCACGTGTCACGGTCCGTTTCAATTTCTCCAGAAAGGCCACATTCTTACCGGGAAACCGGTGCTTAATAGGTTGTGGAAGTACACAAACCAAGATAAGGTGACTTCAACTCCTTACACTATACCTGTCTGGAATCCTTTGCCATTCCGTTGTGCTACAGAATCCCCGTAACCAGCTCACAATTCTATTACTAGTACAACAGTAGCCCGAAATCAACCGACCTAGTACATCACGTTCTGACCTCGGGTTCTGGCCATAAATTCTGACTGGGAATTTGAACCTGGTGGTAAGTGACAAGTGTGGTGCCTGGCGAACTTTTTATAACCTAACAAGCTATTGGACGGTGTTATTTGACTCACTCACCGACTGCCCCCTTTCTTCGGCTGACTTTTTATAACTTCGAATTCCACTTGTGTGGCTGAGCAACGAACGGGCGGTAATTTTAGCCTAGAATGAAGTAGAAGTAAAAAGGTGAGTTTCACAGGTAATCAACTGATACATGAACGCACAACATACTAGAAGTCATGATACTATTGGCGACGCATCACTACTGATGAGTCCCTAATCACGGAGAACGGTATTTGCCTGGCGAATGAAAACTGCGAACAACCTGACAACGCTTGTTTAAAATCCAGATGGAAACGCTCGGTATCCGGAAAAAGAGGATAGGTAGAGAAGTGAGAAAAGATGACAACCCGTGGAAAATTAGTCAAACTCAAGAGGTGGAACACATGTGGAAATAAAAGTTGTATGACAATAGATAGTATGCTTGAAAAACGGAATATAAAATAAGGCAACTCACATAGGTTCCATCAACCTGCTTTTCAGGAAACTGTGGCAAATACGTCCGTATATCCTCATCTAAATCCAGTTTCGACTGTTCCATTAAACGACCAACCAAAACTGATGTGAAACTCTTGCTGATACTGGCGATTCGAAACAACGTATCCTCACGAACAGGGACCAGGTTTTCGACATTGGCGAAACCGAACCCTTGGGATGAATAAAACAACACCAACAAGTCCACACAGTGTCGAGAGGCGTTATTACGCTGGCAAATAGTTATCGGATGGTATTGTCACAATATATAAGATCACAAACATTGTTCAACAGTGTTCATATGCGTCGGGACGCGCCCAGACAGAAAAAAAACATGTGCAGAGAGTGACGCATCCCCAAGGTCACCATCGGTACGGCGCGTCCGGAAAGGAGGTGAGTTGGCGGCTCTCACGACCGGAACACCGCCATATTTAGCCATTTCGTCACCCTACATATTACGCAGACGCTCTGTATGTTTTGTCCTGGCAATACAGCCGTATCCCCGGTTCTCTGTCTTCTCCCTATCGCGTGGTCTGGCAGGCTCAGTGCAGGCATAACCCATAGACGGCCACCCACGATACAACAATATGAATCCCGAACAAAGGTACCGAGGAAGTGAAACAAATTTACTTACCTCACCGGTTATAGATAACTGCACTCACGTGCACATGATCAATAAGTTTCCCATCGACAAGAGTAAGGTTCCAAAGTTCAATCAAAACAGGATATCGTATAGGCGCGTCAGCCGAGGTTTGGACAGTAATGTGATCAGATGTCAGACGTCCCGAAGGGAGATAACCCTACGAGTAAACGAGTACAGGGTACGTAGAAGACAACTCAGAATAGCCTCTTACACATTATACGGATGGACCGTGCTGGCTTCCCTAAGCTGGCAGTTCCAGCAGCGAACCTGGAGACTGAAATGAGTGCACTCAGTGCCCAAAGTGAGATGTATGGGCTTCGCCAAAGCCAGTCCATTGCCCCGATCAGTATTAGTAGGAGGTTATGAGAAATCGCAGCCAGCCTGCGTCCGCAAATGGCCAGGCATGACTTCACAAGCTCCCCACCCGAAGCAAAAATTGGGCTTCCAATCGATTGTAAGATGTTTGGGACCGATTGGGAAGTCATCGTTTCAGAAGGGGCTTGGTAAACAATCGGTGGATTTATTGGTGGGCAACGTTTCGCTTTCGACACAAAAGCTTCGTCAGGCCAAGTGAAGAAGTAAGTAGGTTGATTGGGTTTTGAGGCAGTCAGGGAACCAATCCGTGAGATTCCTTATGACTAGTGACGTGATCAGTGCTGGGTGTTCAGTCTGATGTCCCTGTTTGTTGATTAGTGGGGATAACTAAGATTTACGATAGATTGGTTAGGGAGGATTCGTCTTTATGATGAACCCGGATTTTTTCGTCCTTGCTTCTTCAGTCTAGGACACCTTAATGGAAAATTCCTCTTGGGGTCCTTCACAGATTTCGTTCACCTGTGTTCAACCAAGGGTGATGGGACAATTAGTTTGGGGATGGAGGTGGGTTGGTTAAATGGATCTAACTCTAATTGGGTTGTGTACTTTTAGACCCAGGCTCTTTCGCTGATAACTGCACATCGCCTCGTGTCATCTCCGCTGATCTAAGACCGCACACACACGTTTGCACACAAGTTTGCAAGTTTCCAAGATTCGTATAACTGCTAAAAAAGTAGCTGGATTTCAGTGAGCATAAGCGTTCCATTAACAGACCACCCAGAAACGCAGAGGAATACCAGGCGTTAGTCAAAGATTCAGCAATGGCAGGGCATGCTCTAGACACTGGGCACAGGATAGGTTTAGAAAATGTGGACATCCTGAGACGGGGTTTAAGATTCACACCACAGCGACTGGTGGCCGAGGCAGTGGAAATCGCCAAGCATCCGAGTGTGAATAGAATAGAGGGTGTAGAACTTGCAAATGTGTGGAGAACGGTCCTAGATCAGCCGAGATGACACGAGGCGATGTGCAGTTATCAGCGAAATCGCCTGGGTCCAAAAGTACACA